CGGGGCGTGAGGGGCCGCGCGCCCCAACCTGCCAGATAATGCGCCCCTCGGCCGCACACATGGAGCCCGGCGCCGGCGTCACCGCCCGGGACATGCGCACCAGGTCAGCGCGCCCGGCCCGCGGCCCCCAAAACACCGGGGAGCTCTTAAAGGCGACGCCGCCCGCCCGCGCCAACGGGGCGGGGCGTGAGGGGCGGGGCCTGATTGAGGGCCGGGCCTGTTAACGGGGCGGGGTCTTAAGCGGGTGGGGCCAGGGCGGTCCGCCCCGGAAGCGAGGTTCCAAGAGCCGCACACACGGCAGTGCAGCGCCAGCCCGCGGTTCCCACACTCCCCGGCCGGTGGCCTTCGCCCAGTTGGGGTCGTCGCACCCGCCGAGACAAGTCGCGGCCGCTCCCAAGGATGACTCACGGCGCGTTCGCTGCTGACCTCAGCTGCTCCTGCACACCAGATTGAGGCCATCCAGTCGTGGTCACCCAGAAATTCCCAGCCCAGGGATCGGCTGAACCTCACTTCCCTTAAGGCAGTTAACTGAAATCTACGCATGGAACTCCAGACCTCCAACTCCATCCAGGGGACGCCAACTCGCCTCTCCAATTACCTTCACTCTACCCGGCGCCTTTGAAAGAAGGCGAAAGCTCTCAAGAAAGCAAATGCGCTCCCTCCCCGTGATCAGAAGGAAATTTGAGAATCAATGAGACTGGATGGGCTTTGAAGATAATGAACTACATACATAACGTGAAACGCAAACCCAGTGGGGAAAATAAGAAATTTACTATCACTAGAAATCTCTCAGTGTCAAGATTAGGGTTCGAAGAATAACCAAAAAAGGCCTTTCTCATTTTTTTTTTGTCTAATTAAAACAATTCTTGATGAGACACCTAGACTTCGCCATAATGACTTTTAAATTTTCTCTAACACATCCTAATATATACTCGATGCAACTGAAACAAAAGTTTCACCAGGCAACCTATAGCACTTGCCTGCGTGCACTGCGATTTGCTAATGGGCTTAATTTTAAAAAGGAGAATCTTTATTGATCTCCATCCCAAACTTGTAAAAACAAGTTTTACATGTTTTTTTTTAATATAAGTTGGGGGGGATTACATTTTAATTTTATATTGAGCGACTTTTTTTCCTTGATTCCACCCTCCAAACCACCCACAAAATCTTCCAACTGCTTAATGCCACAACTAGTACAACCTGCCTGGGTCTCAAAAGAGAATCTTTCTCAAACTAAAAATGATACAAAATACAAAGTGTTGACCTCTAAACACCTTCTCTGACCAACTTTTGTCAGCAATTTGCTTTGCTACAAAGAAATTCAAATGTTCAAATTCAAAAACCAAACAAAAACAGTCTTATCCTCCAACTGATTCCCTGTAGGAATGTAGGAAGCTCCCTGATCCCAGGCAAAGACAGAGTAAAGCAAATATCCAGGGTTTCCACTCTAATTCAGTGGCTGTGTACTTTGAGATCAGCTTTACCATTATCAGATGATGTATATTAAAGCAATACAAGCAAAGTATTACCTCACTGTTCCTCACCTGAGTCTCGATTAATGCCAACTTAATTAACTGTGAACAGCAAAGAGTGGTCAGGTGGGAGACTTAAGGCTTGAGCGATAGGGATTCCAGAGTCTAAGCTGGCAAGTACTGTGAGTCACTTAGGTGACAACCACCCTTTTTTAAAGAGGGAGGCATCAACTGCAATATATTAATGACACACCCCTGTGGACTGAGGTGTGCACTAGTGACAGGTGGGCTGCTCCAGAGTGCAGCTGCCAACTTCTCCAGCTGGAAAAGCAGGGTGGGGTAGAATGTACAGTTACATGTTTTATTTCTGTAACAGGAAGAGAGGGCCAGGTGTAAGGGTATAAAGTAACAGTGTGGGGTCACCAATGAATGCTCAGGCAGGAGAATGCTGATGCTACTTGGATGCAAGACCTTGCCTACTTAGAGCTTAGTATTGGGCGAAACAATAAAAAGTTCAGCTGGGTGATTACAAAATATGGTGCATTTAATTCAGATGCCATTCTAAAATTAGCTGAAGCTACTCTAACAGACAATGAGGGTTACAATCTTTTTCTAAAAGTTTTCCCTTGGTCTTAAGAAGGAACAATCAATGGGCCCTCCCTGGTGGCACCACAGGGTAAGGCACAACACTACAAAGCTAGCCTCCTAGCACTGCTAAGCTGCTTCAGTGCCAGAGTTCAATCCCCAGCTGGGGATGATCCACATGGCACAGCAAACCTCTCCTGTCTCATCCACTGCTCCTCTCAGCAGTATACTTAGATATCTGCCTATTCTGCTCCCCACTCTGTCTCTAGTGAATCCTCTCACCACCCCTGCACCTCTGGCCTATACCCCAGTTCTATATGCATAATTAAATAAATCTTTTAAAATAAAAAAGAATAGTCAATACATATAGATACTAGTTAATTTTTTTTAAAGATTTATTTATTTGTGCATACAGAACTGGGGTACAGGCCAGAGGCTCAGGGGTGGCGAGAGGCTTCACCAGAGACAGAGTGGGGAGCAGAACAGGCAGATGGACGAAGTACACTGCTGAGGGGAGCAGCGGTAGAAATTGATCAGTCTCCATAGTAAGGTAAAACTAACTGCAAAGTAGCATCACCTACTGCACGTTTATTGTATTGTACTTTTTTTCCCCATCAGTACACAGCAAGTTGATTAAGGAAAGGGGGGAAAAGGAGTGACTCCTGCATAGACACACGTGAACAGAGAGCTGCCCTTTTTTTTTTTAAAGATTGATTTATTTATGCATATAGGACAAGGGTACAAGCCAGAGATGCAAGGGAGGTGAGAGGATTCACCAGAGACAGAGTGGGGAGCAGAACAGGCCAAATGATGAAGCACACTGCTGAGGGGAGTAGCGGGCAGGCCAGGAGTGGTCTGCTGTGCCATGTGGATCACCTCCGGGGCGGGCAGGGATTGAACTCATGCTGAAAGTGGCTTTAGCTTCTTAACGCTGAGCTTTAACACCAGGGAGGGCCCCCTTTTTTGTTTTTAATCAGAAAATTCCTGTAAGTTTCTGGTAAACAACATTCAAGATGTCTTATGTGATGAAAACTAATGGATGAGAACTAAGAAGCCACTCATCCTAATGGTTTTACAAGCAAAGCACCTATATACTTGTTCCACAGTTCACAGGCTGGTGGCACAGAATGACTTCAATACAGAAAAGATAGGAATCCAAGAGAAAAGGGTACTCCCTAACCAAAAGAGAGGTCTGGGCATTTTGTGGGGGTGGAGTGGGGAATGGGCTCAAAAAGGGGGTGAGGGGAATGCATGGACTATGGAGATGACACATGGGTGACTTGGTGATGGGAAACCCACAGGGATTACAATTGAGATGGAAAAAAAATGTACAAAATGATGTAAAAATAAACTATTAAAATATAATAATAAGAAGAATAATAATAAGAATAATAAGAATAATAAGAATAATAAAGGGGTCTGGGAAATCTTGGCAGATATGACATTTAACCAGCTATTAACAAATGAGCATTCCAGAATTCAGATACATACAAAAGCAAAAGCCAGAGTTAGCTATATCTGGAATGTGATGACTTCAGTGTAGAAAGTCCTGAAAAAGGATGGATTCATTATCCTTTAGATCTTCTAGATGCCTTTGTTTCTCAAAATATGAAATAAATGTCAACAACTCCAGTTCACAAACAAAGCATTCTATAAACAGATAGTTCATTCAAAAGTGTATCAAATTAAAAAATAAATTACCTTTACGAGAATACTGACTCATTTCCATACTTGGCCATTTTTACTACCCTAAAGTCTAAAACTATTTTTATTAAACTTAGACAATAAAATCACAATCTCTAGAGAGAATTATTTAGAAGTTTCTTATTTGACACCAAATTTATGGTGAGGTTAGAATACAACTGGCTGGGAAAAAAAGAGAAAAATTTAATTTCTATGTGAACTTAATTTCCTTCATACCTGATATTTTTAATGCTTTTATCAAGGACCAGAAAATGACTATAGGGATTATTGTAATGCTGTATGAAAAATACAATACTTCCGGTATTGTCACTGCTGCAACAAATGTCATTTTTTAAAATCACAGCATTCTTACATTAAATGAGGAGTTTGTGGGAGATAGAACAGAACTCCTCTGCCCCATCCCTGTGGTGGGTACTGGAAAGCTCTCTGCAACTTGCCTCTCTCAGGATGGGCGACATCAGCATGTTTGCTTAGTTCTGACAGTCGTTTCCAACCTTGATTCCATGAACTTAGTGCATGTGCACCCAGAGTTCAGGCTTCATCTGTCCAGAGTAAGTGTGTGACTCTGACCATGTCCCACTATAAGCTTCTGAACACAAGCCCTTCCCTAAAGGGTTAAACACAAACTGCTCAGAAGTAGCCTCCTGACCAAAAAGTGTATCACCTACTCTGTCTTTTTCTGCCACTGTCACCAGCTGGAAAGGAATATTTCTTTTGTGTCAATCATGGCTTTCAAAATAAGTTCACCTAGGGGCTCCCCTGGTGGCTCAAGGGATTAAGTCTCAGCTTTATGAAGCTATCTGAAGCACAAGTTCAACCCTCAGCCAGGGAGCTAACCCTCATGGTGCAGCAGACCTCTCCTATCTCACCCACTGCTTTCCCTCAGCAGTGTATTTCAATCTGCCTGTTCTCTTCCCCACTCTGTCTCTGGTAAATCCTCTTACCCCCTGTACTATGGCCTATACCCCAGCTCTTGTATGCATAAGTAAATAAAATAAATTACTACTGCATACAGGGCCTACCATGGTACTTCTGCAAAGCAACAAAGACATAAATAACAGTAAGCCATTCTTGCTGAAGGACCCATCTACTGTT